GGGAGGGAGGGAGGGAGGGAGGAAGGAAGGAAGGAAGGAAGGAAGGAAGGAAGGAAGGAAGGAAGGAAGGAAGGAAGGAAGGAAGGAAGGAAGACAGTTTCAGTCAGACTACACACTTTCTTTCACACACACCCTTCATCTCTCCACAATCTGTGATTAGTTTCACACACAACATGAATTGTGCATACGTGTGGGGTATGTGCAGGCAGACAGTGGATCCTAATTATCTGCATACCTTTGATCACACCTTAAACTGAGAGCTTGTGAGGAGTGGGTAGCTAGGGTAATAGCAGCAACAATAATGGAATCTGCACAGGAAAACAGGAATGAAATTCCTCCTCAGCCACAAAGCTGACCCACCGTGGAAGGTTGTAGTGAGCATAAAATGGGATTATTTGCACTCATTACAGGAGGGGAGAAGATGCAAACCTGGGAGTCCAGGGGCGGGAAAAGACATAAGCAACAGTAAAACCAAGAGAATCAAAAGGTCCACCGGCTATAAAATAAGCACATTCAAATTGCTTCCTGGTAGCTTCAGGGCAGTCGTTCAAGGCTGACTCAAGTGTCGGAGGATCTCCAGAATGCACTGAATCTCCTGATCTGGCTGCTCAAAATGGAGAGATTCTTGAGCAAGCAGGAGATAGCACTGTTTTAAGCTCATTGCTCCGCCCCTTCCAACAACACACTCATTCCCCCTCCAAGGGTTTTCAGAAAACCACACGCTCTTTTCCAATCTCATTTCAGTGCCAGTTCCTGTCCTCAAACTCACAGAGAAACCCAAACCCTCTCATTTTTGGTAGTGACACCCCTCCCCTCCTCTACCTGGCTGTTGTGCATCCTACATGAAGCAGGGTGATTTAGCAAATGCAAGCCAGTGCCATTGGTTTGCATGCACCAACTCACACAGCAGAACCAGAGGTTCCAATTTCAGCACTGGGGCTATTTTAGCATGATGCACTTGTGTATTCACACACATGAAAAGGAGTGCCAAACTTGGCACATCCCGACCACCGTCTCTTGCCAAACTACACAGCCGATCCTACCATTCAGCAGAGTCAGGCTCTCGGATAGCAAATCTGGAGTGACACAAAAGGGCAGAAGTCTGCCTGCAATTTAATTTACCACCATGCATTTTCTTTTTACTGGTCTTCGGGGAAAAGCATTTGAGTTTTCCACCTTGAGGACCCAAAACACCTGGGGGCTAGTCCTATGGAACTCATGCATCTTCCAGGTTGCGGCCACACATCCCTTCATCCCAAGCAAACTGCCTCCCCTTATAGCGGGGAAGGGCTTCACCTCACCTTGTGGGGGAGCACGAGGTAACAGATGATCGAGATAAGCGTCCCAAAGCAGGGAGTGATGAAATAGCTCAAAGCAGAAGTCTGAGCATCAACACCACCTGAAAGGCCAGAGAAAAGGGGTGTATGTGGGGGTGGACCAGTCGTCAGAATATCTCCCACCTCGTGGCCTGGTGGGCAAAAGCGTACAAGGAGCAGAGTGAGGGGACTCAGAGCTAGAACTTGCTCTATTTTTCCTATTAGAAAAACAGACCTAAGAACTGGTCATCATCTGACTGTTGCCTATGAGGCTCTCCCAGCCACCGGCTGACGCCACGGAACGTTCACAAATATTCTAACCCTTCTGGGTGGGGTTGGCTCTGACGGTAGGCTGATGAATGGGTCAGCTCTGGCAAGGAAAGACTTGGATGGCAGAACAGAATCACCAGGAGCCTGGAGTGGGCAGAAAGGAGGGTTGAGCAGGCAGGGAGCAGGCAGGGAGCCTACACAACTAGCAGCATAGTGAGAGAAGGGATGCATGCCTGGAGGAGGTAAAGATCTGAGTGGAAAAAAAGAGGAAGAGGAAAGGCACGACCCAAGCAGGAAGGGGGAGTGAAGGAAAAGTGACCCCATACAGGTCCTAGGACACAGCTGCTTATTTTTTGTAGCAGGAATGGATAGTCAAGGTGGACGAGAAGGCCAAAAGGGGAATGGGCACTGAGCGATGCCCTCTTTGACTGGGTGACAGGTTTCTTGCTCTTGATACCCCAGACCAAGACAGATGTCCCAGGGCTGCTGTCAGTCGCCCAGCACCAAATGCCCCCTCCCCACCAAGGTACTCACTGGCCATGGACAGCACCATGGCGATGGCGGCAAACGTTCCTGCCATGCCCTGGCCGCTCAGGAAGAGGGTGCTGAACTGCTGTGGGAAGGAGCCCAACTGCCCAAAGAGGCTGCCTTGCAGGATGGCGCAGAAGGCTGGTGGCAAGGGGGAGAAAAAGACCACAAATCAGAACGTCGACCGTCATTTAGGAAAACCAAAACGGGGGCGGGATTCAAGCCTTTCTGTAAGCCCTATCCCCCAGGTTGGGTGGCTAGATGGGTGGGTGAGTTGGATATCTATTTACTTGGCACCAAAGGAAATGCACTCTGCACATGCTCGAAGGCATATTTTGTTAGCGCACACATCGCAAGGCTGAACCCAAACTCTGAACGCAGGTCCCAGGTCCAGGTCCTGGAGCTTAAGTCTGCAGCCAAGCGCTGATGTGCCCACACATTGCCAATCATGCACCCCTACTGCCAACTACAGGACAAACACTGCAGAAATTGCTACACATGATTTATTAGGTCAGAGAAAGCTACGCCTGTTGAATTTATGCCAGAAAGCTATGCCTGTTGAATTTATGCCTGACATGTGGGTGTTAAAGTCAAGGAAAGAAGGCAGCAATTTTATCAGTGAGCAACTGCACAGCAACTGGGTTAAAGGAGCATAACAGCTGGAGGACAGCACGGCCTCTTAGCCACGTCACTCGCTGACTGGTGAGTCAGAACCTCCCCAAGTTCTGATCTTGCCTCAAAATGTGGCTTTGAGTGAACTGCCTTGGGCCCCATCTCTAATTATGGGGAGGGAGATTCAACCTTCCAAGGTTGGAGTGCAAAGCATTCTACAAATGCTCAGGAATATTATTATTAGCACATCTTCTAAGGCCTGGATTGCTTCCCAGGGCCTTCCTTGCTACAGACATCCAGGAGTTGGGTTACTGACTGCAACAGAAGTCTCCCGCTACTGTTCTAACAGGGCTGGGAACAGAAAGAGAGAGAGAGAGAGAGAAAGATCCCAGACCACTCACAGTTAATGAACCAGACACTCGCCATGGTAATGGAGAAAAAGCTCTGGGGCAGCATCTCCACCTTGACAAGGGTAGCTGTCAGTGAGAAGAGGAACAGGATCCCCAAGAGGCTGCCTAGAATGCGCACTTTGTCTGGAATGCTGGGATGGGGGGGGGGAGAGACAAGAAACAAATGCAACACAATGATTAGATTGTCTGAATTCAGAGTCAGGGAACAGAGGAGACGCTGGCCCTGCCTCCACCACCTATGCACGATTGCCAGCTCATGAAGACAGCACCTAGGTGGTGCATAGGAATGTACATGCCATTCCCCTTGACTGGGAATGTTGCTTTTTCAAGCATTCCTGATCATGGGGATGGGATCTACATGTGTACCCTCCCTATGTGCATAGATGCTTTGGTCATGAGCTAACGATCACATGTAGGTGGGGCCGGTGCACCTGTGCACACTCTCCCCTCTATGTTCTCATTATGCATACGAGCTTTACGAGACATACTACTACCCTGACCTTTACTGTTTGTCTCCCCCTACACACATTTCCTTGTACCCAAGGGGTATCCCACAAACATCAAAACACAACACTCAAAGGGACTGAATGCACACATAGCAGATCAGGGAGAGGCCTGACTTCAAGCCCAAATTACTGAGCATTCAAGAAATTTCTGTAATTTTTACAGCTCTACCGGTTAAGCTGAGCTTCTGTGACCCCCCCTGCAAAGGATCTGGAAGGCCTAGGTTCAGATTATACTTCTGTCACGGACTCACTGCATGGTTTTGGCCAAACAGCTCATTCTGCCCTTTGTACAACAGAAAAGATAATGGCCTACTTCACAGCAGCATTCTGAAAGCAAACACAATACAGGCTTTAAGACTATGGATCCTTTTATATAGGAACTTAAACTTGGTGGGGCAAGCATGTTTGCACAGAGCAAAGTGGAAGGGGCAGTGCTGGAGGAAAGGAGAGAGGGCGGGTGGAGAACGAAGACTGGGAAACCAATCCTGAAGTGGGGACCTGGGCTGAGGTTAAGTAGCATGACTGTGGCTGTTCTCACCATTGGTAGAGGAGGGAGTTGAGGAGGGTGAAGAGGAGTAAAGGCAGCTGGGAAAGCAGAGTCAGCCAGTTGCTGAAGTTGAAGTCATCTGTGCACGGAGGTGGGGGTTCAAGGCCAAGGATGGTTCTGTTCGCAATGGTTGTGTTCTCATTCTCCTCACAAGCAGAGCAGTTCCCAGTGATAAGCCGAGACTGGAAATACTGTGGAAAGGGTCGTATTTGGCAGGATGATTACGTTTCCACATATACAAATGTAACAACCGGGGCTCACATTTGCCCAGGAACCACTCTTTTGAAACCCAAGGTAAATGTGGTTAAGGCACTCTTCATTCATACTATGCCACACATTCCAGAGCAGCACAAAATAAGGCCAGGGCTTGAGTTCTGGGGCTGCTCAGCTCAGTACATGCCCCAGGTATATTCCTTTGACCTCAGAGCTGTGCACATGTGAAGCTGGCTTACACTTAGTCAGACCATTGGTCCATCTGGACAGTACTGTCTGACGGGCAGCTCTCCGAGATCTCAGGCAGAGGTCTTCTACATCACCTACTACTCAATCCTTTTTTAAAAAACAACAAAACTAGTGATGGTTGGTAGCAGTGTTCTCTCTACGCTGAGTTAGTGTGAGCAAGTTCACAGTTTGTTAGCCTCCGGCTCACACATTTTTGTCTTAGCTCAGGCAGGATGGCTTCAGAGCAAACTAATTTATGCAGTAGCCAAATGCCTTGCTCACAACTTTAATGCCAGTAGCTCTCAAAGTAGAATTTTTGCTCGCAAGACTTCACAGCTTAAAGGGAGCATTGGTTGGTAGTGAATCTGGGACCTCCTGCGTGCAAAACAGATGCTCTGCCACTGAGGGACAGCACACCCCCCCCCCACATGCACACTTAAAGTTCCCACCGGAAGGAAGCCTCAATTAGGGGTTTTGGCAGCATCTCAGGGCAACCTTCTACCAAACAAACAGAAAAGCAAAGCAAGGAAAACAATAAAACAGGGGAATTTTAGAAAACCTCATAAAAACAGAGGTTAAACAAACAAGATTGCCTATATTTTAACTGTGCCTCTAACTTACAATTCCCTGGTTGCCTCTTTGTGCATTCCAAAACAGGTCCATAAAAGGGCAGGGCTTAGACCAAATCAAGACTGAGTCAACAGCCTATGAGCAGCAACTGACCAAATGGAATCTGGTCCCACTGGGCATTTCTGGAGGCCCATTAGAGACTCTTGGTAATGCCTGCCTGGGAAGGCCTAAGACCCTGCAGTATTTTCTTTTTGTGCTCCCTGGAGCCATTCTATCAGATATGCCCTGAGTCTCCTGCTTGAAACTTAATTCCCAGGCACTCATGGGCCAAATTTGGATCATAACTGCTACATCTGGAGAGAGAAGCCTTAAGCCTCCCCCTCCGTGTCATTATCCTGACCTGAAATGGCCCTCAGGAGTCACTATTTGCCTCATTGGAGAAGTTTTCTTCTATGGAGCAAACAGCAATTCTCCAAGGCCATTTCGGGGCAGGAAAATGATGCGGGGGGGGGGAATCTTAATCCCCCTCTCCCCTTGTGCCATGGTTCCACTATGAATCAGGCCCCCACATGCTGAAGAACTGAACACAGTTGGCAGCTGGCAGAATCTGGGTACAGATTCAGCAAAAGTATAACATGTAATTAGGCCTCCCTGGGGCTATGAGAAGAGGGGGACTGCCAACTACCTATATAAGAAGGATACACACTGGTAGGGTTGCCAACCTCCAGGTGGGGGCTGGAGAGTTCCCTGATTTAGAACTGATTTCCAGACTGCATAGATCGCTTATTTATCATTTTGTTGTCAAAGGCCAGAAATGTGTTCCAAGTAAAACACTCACCGGAATAGCAGTGATGAAGAAGTTCCAGGGAAGGAGAGTTCCCAGGCCGAGAAGGAAGAAAATGATTGCCACGCAATGGAAACTGGCAATTTGGGGAGAAAAGGACACAACAGTTAAAAGGATTTCAGGCTAGGGAGACACATACGCTCAACCACAGGCTTTATTCTTGTATTATATTTACACACCATCTCTAGCAGCGCAAAATAAAAATAGAAGTATAACGAAAAGCTAAAGCAGTGGCATGTATCCACCTCTGCTAATGTGAAGGTCATAACATCAGTGGAAGCATTTTTAAAAAAACTGCAGCAAACTGTTGCGAAAGACAAAACATCACTGCATTCAATGGCCTATTTCCGCTTCTGCAGGGCGCAGCACTAGAAACAGAATATTGTGTATGACTGGGCATTCATTTAAATTTACAATAGTGCAGTTGAAGAATATATTTTCAAAGCGGGACATGGTAAGAACCACACTACTTGCACATCAACCTTTGCATTAAGGAAACGCCGTTTTACTTAGAGCAATTCTGCATTTTACGAAATCCACTCTGGAACAGAAATTCCCCTCTGCATTGCATGCTGCTTTCACTTTCTTTGATCGTTTGCTTTCTAAAAGTCAGAAACAAGCAAACCCAACAGATGTGGCAGCCAGAACAGGGTATCTTCTGAACATTAGGAAGAACTTCCTGACAGTTAAACCAGTTCCTCAGTGGAACAGGCTTTCTCAGGAGGTGGTGGGTTCCCCTTCTTGGGAGGTTCTTAAGCAGAGGCTAGATGGCCATGTGACAGCAATGCTGATTCTATGACTCACTATGATTTTAGGCAGATCATGAGAGGGAGGGGACCATGAAAGGGAAGGGATGAGCCAGTGTTTGGCTCTTGTGGCCCTTTCTTATATGCCCAAGGTAATGCCTGGGCATATAATGCATCTGTTTGGAGTCAAGAAGGAATCCCCCCCGCCAGATTGGCCCAGGGATCCTGGAGGTTTTTTGCCTTCCTCTGGGTATAGAGCTGGGGTCACTGGGGGAGTGGGGGGGGGAGCTGTGAATTTCCTGCATTGTGCAAGTGGTTGGACTAGATGATCTTTGAGGTCCCTTCCAGGTCTATGTTTCTGTGAGAAAGCACAAAAGCACAAAAGAAAATACCCAGAAAAAGATGTTCAGTTACGTAAGAAACATGCCACTTGCACAACAACCTTTGCATTAAGGGAACACTGTTTTATTTAGGAACTTGTTGACATTTTCTTGGATACACACCAGTAAAGCAGTCAAAACACCATCTGAGACTCTCCAGCATCCTTTATGCCCTGTGGTTGGTCTTCCAGAGGAACTGGTTGGGCACTGTGTAAGACAGGATGCTGCACTAGATGGACCACTGGTCTGAGCCAGCAGGGCTTGTCATAAAATGGTACTCCGTGTAGACCCATAAAGGTAAGCATAACATGATCTCTCTAGCTAGCACCCATCTGGATTAGACACACTTTACAAGTATCTTTCAAAGGCAGACCCCACAGAAAACACACTATACAGCCCACCCTCAAGGTCACCATAGTAAAGATAAGGTAATCTGCAACAGAGAGATGAGAGGTATGAAGGTGGGGAGGGGGGCTTGACCCTTCTCTCCACTACCGCTTCCTAGATTATTTCTAGCCTCAAAATCTGGATGGAAAAAAGTAAGAGGGAAGCAGCCAGGGACCAAGAGAGGGGGAAGAGGGGGGGAGAGACCCCGACCCTCTCAGTCAGAGTGCCAGGGAAAGAACCCGGCTGCATGCAAGGCATGTGCTCTACTATCAAGCTATGGATATTCCTCTATAAGTTGGTGAGGAGGAGGAACTTTAGGGTTTCAAGCCAGAATGGTCAAGTGAGCAGCCCTAGCCTATCATGGTGCCCAGGCCTCCCCCCTCCCCCCCCATCCCTCCATGTAAAACTCCTGTGTTCTTGCACAGCAAATGTGCATGAGAGCTTCCAGGGAGATAGCCTTTTGCTTATTCATTTGCTCATTCCCCTGCTTGAGACGCTTGGGTGGGTAACAGGAAAGGCAGCAAACCAAAAATCCCCACACACGTTAAAATTCCTCCAGGGGTGGAAACATTCAAGCCTTTCCGGTCTCCTGGAAACTGGGCAGCAAGGGGGGCGGGGTGACAAACAGATGATGGAGGGGAGGCAGTTTTTCCTTGGCTTGCTTACCTCCCTCCCCCCCACACAGAAATGTTGTGTTTTGGTAGTGAAGGAAGGAAGGACAGAAGCCAGACCCACCCTGCCAGCCTCTCTCACTCATGGCCAGACCGGAAAGTCAGGTTTTGGGGAAGTGCAACTCACCAAATACTTCTAATCCTGATACCTGAGCAATTCATGCATGAAACACTCTCCTCCAGCCAAATACATACCTGAAAGCACTTTTTTTTAAAAAAAGGACACACCTTTTGCCTTCCTCTGTTTTGTCTCTTTTGCAAAAACAACCCTCTGAGGACATTGGAACACTTCCATAATTGGTCTAATTAGTGTTGAGTTGGGGAAGCAAGTCAGCCTGTGTTGTGGTTCAGTGGCAGAGCCTCTGCTTTGCACCCAGAAGGTCAGGGGTTCAGTCCCAGGCATCTTTGGTTATAAAAGGATCAGGTAGTAAGCTACGAGAAAAACCTCTGCTTGAGACCCTGGGGAGTAGGCTGCCAGTGAGAATGGACAACACTGGTCTTGAGAGACCAGCGGTCCGACTGGGCAGAAAACTACAAAAGGGACTGAGTGCCAGAGGCCACAAAAAAAGAAAAGAGAAAAAGCAATTATCGGTAACGGTATAAAAACAAACTGTTACTATATACAGTGCAAATAATACAGTGCATACAGTGCAAACAATCCCAAAGTAAATCCCTCCCAAGCTAGACCTAATGCAAGTCTGCTACTCACGAGTCCTTTGGAGTTCCCTGAGAGGCCATCATGAAAGGTTTATCCCTGCGTGGGAGGCAGCTCACAGTGTGGGAGTCTCACCTCTGTCAAATCACAGCTGCACCTAGAAGGCAAAAGTGGAAGAACTAACTGCAAGTCTAACCCAAAAGGAGGGGAAAATCCAGTTCATGGCTACCTCCAGAGCTCCTGAGAACTCCAGTTTTCAAAGGCAGGCTCCTGCTCATTCCTGGGATGACTGGAGAGCCATCTTACTACAAACACAGTTGGAAGGAGCAGAAAGAGCACCCAAGAGCACCATTTGGAACTCACCTCCCTACAGAGCCAGCCCAGCAGTGTCAAGGCACATGTCTTTCGGAAGCTCGGCTTCCTAATCTCAGCTGTAACTGTTCACAAATTAGAGAAGTGTACTCTGTGCTTGCTCAGAAACACTCTTCTGTGCTACTACTTCACGTGTTCCAGAGCTGAGTCCAGATAGGCAAAACCAGGGCTGACTCCTGATTGGTTAACCTTTTTGCTCGCATGCCTTCAAGAGTTCAAACAGAAGCCTCCTCTGCTCACAAAAACCACAAGGAAGCTAGAGTTACAAACCCCATTCTTTTTGTTAGTCAGAGCTCACTTCATCAGAAATATGAAATGTTTACCCATTAGGCAACAGTTCATGTGTGGGACAAAGGGAGCTCTGACCCACAGACGCTTACGCTGGAACCCATTTTGTTAGCCTTGGAAGTGCCACTGGACTCCTGTTTAATTTTGATACAACAAACCGCTGGAGTCATCATGGGAAATGGATATTGAAATAGATGTGAAAATCTATAACACTTGGGCCTACATTTAAATCCTCCGGCATAAAACTAGGCAGAGAAGAGTTAGAAATACCCCTTGGAGAACGAAGAGTAAGCACAATATAGATAACTCCTTAGAACAAGAGGGGAAAATCCAGATGTTGAGTCAGCAGTTCACACTGGAAAAAGCAACCCTTGGTACACACACTCACGCACCCACAGGCAGGCAGGGCATGTTCAAGCTGCTTTTACCACCAAAGGAGGACTTCAGGAGATATTCCACAGATCACAGATTTGCTACACCTTAATACACTTAAGGTAGTTCAACTGTAGGCATCTTTGGAGGGAGAGGGTATCTGAGGCAGTTTGGTGTAGTGGTTAGGAGCACGGACTCTAATCTGGGAGGACCAGGTTTGATTCCCCACTCCTCCACATGCAGCTGCTGGCGTGACCTTGGTTCAGTCATAGTTCTCTCAGAGCTGTTCTGGAAAGAGCTCTCTCAGCCCCACCTACCTCCCAGGGTGTCTGTTGTGGGGAGGGGCAGGGAAAGAAAATTGTAAGCCGCTCTGAGACTCCTTTGGGTAGTGAAGAGCGGGGTATAAATCCAATCTCCTCCTCTTCCTCTTTATTCTACTGGTTTTATTTGTAATGTTTTAGTTGTGACTTGTAAGCCACCCTGAGCCACAAGGAAAGGCAGGATATAAATATTTTAAGAAAGGAAGAGATAGCTATACTTGGGATTGTACTATGAGGGGGGGGGGTTGATCAAGGACTGTGGAAGAGCCTCCCTCCAAACAAACACATACGTATTAGCTCACATTCACCCCCTTGCATCTCCAATTCTCCTTAATCTCATCTTTATTCTAATGCTAAGACTTTATTATTTCATTTAGTTATTTCTAGCCTACTTCCTCCACCAAAAGTCCTTGAAGTGGCTTTCAGACAAACAACAACAAAAAGCACAAGCGTTAAATAATCACATATTAAAACAGCGGTAATAAAACTCAGCATCACTTTCACTAAAAGAGCAGGAGTTAACACAAGGCATTTCTTAGTAGCCGCACAGTGCTAGAAGCAAGACTGCAATGTTTACCATAAAAAAACAAGAACATTAAGCATTTGAAATGAATTGGCACTAAAATGATCAGCAGCCACTTTGCTCTTCTCTTGCAATTTAGTATTTAGAGTGTTAAAAATGCTGCACACGCATTCTTTCAGTAACCCTCATGACACCCCAGTAGTACACCCAGGATTTTGTGGCTGGGATGAACTTCTAATTTGCTCATAACCTGATCCTGTGCAGGAAGTTACGACCTACTGCATTCAATGGGGTTTACTGTCAAGAGAGAGTACCCGGGGTTGGGATCTTAGCTGCTATGCTCCACAGTATTTTGTGTGTCACTATTTTAGTCTCTCCCCTTCTGTTGTCTTATGCCCACCCCCAAAACCTTATGGAATCTGAGAATGTAAACTACTAAAATGTGTCTTTTATTTTGCTTTGTCTTTTGTTATATATATATA